CCTCTCCCCGCCCCTGCCCCCCCCGCCGGCCCTTCTCTCTTTCTCTCATCTCGCGCGATGAAAAAAATATGAAGAAAAAAAACATGCAGTATCTATTTGAAGACGTGTAACGTGTGGATTTATTTGTAATTCGTCAGCGTGTAGTTTACGAATCTCATGACGAACAATTCATTTTAGACGCGGGGCCGGCGGTGGAGAACCGACGGCGGGGAACCGGCGGTGCAGGAGGAAAGCGTTATCAATTTGCGAGCGGGTAAGGACATAAAGCGATCCGGTCGTATCGGTCGTAAAAATTCCGCGCTATCGTTATGACAAAATAATAATTAATTCGAGCAACATGCGAAATAAGTGCGCGCAGGCTCGCTCGGCAATTAATTATCCCAAGTCACCTTGAATCTGTTGAGCTTCTTCTGCGTGGTGCTCAGAATGCTGTTCAGCTCGTCCAGGCCGCCGCCGACGCGTCCCGCCGCATCGTCCACGTAATCCAACTCCTAGAGATAAGAGAGAGCGTCGTCGTGAGGAAATTCGCATCGCGGACACGCGTGAACCGTCCGTTCGTCCGTCCGTCGGCGTTAATGAACCCCTGCGATCGACTTCGCGACGTCAGCGATTTTATTCCCGACGCGACGGTCCGACTCGTTGCACGTGGACGCGCAACCCGATTCTGCTGCGTAATGTCTATCATGATTGCGATATCGCCGTTAAGTGCGTTAGCCGCTCATTAACATATGAAAGAGAGAGAGAGAGAGAGAGAGAGGATGAATGAAAAAAGAATAGGGGAATAAAAAAGATTGGTAAAAGGTGCAAGAGTATAGATAAGTACAAACTATGTCACTCGGCTCTCTCTCCCCCCCTCCCCCCACCCCCTCCTCTTGATTGCGTTCTTTTATTTTACGACGATGAAAAAAAAAAAAAGAAATTAATACTCGTTGATTCGTGATTGGTGAAACGTATCAGAGATAGCTCGTTCGCCAATGGGCGTGTCCAATGAAATAAAATTCAGGCTGCTATTTTAGGGATATATTTTCAAACAGGTCCTGCCCGACTTGAAATTCTTAGCGCAGCAGCGCAGTTACCTGTAATGCAGCATCGTCATCGTCGACGTCGCGACGATTCTCGCTCTGCGCCGTCTGCGACCGCCTCCACTCCTCCTCGCTAGGCTTCGGCAAGCCTAGCAATTCTGCCCTCTCGCAGGCATGCTGATAGTCCTCGGACATGACGCTAGGTTCCAACTATATAACTAATACAATGGGCCGCTACCCGAAAACGTCGGGCGTCGCGACGAGCGATCGTTCGCGAGTACTCTCTCGGACGCGAAATTCCGTGGAAATCGTCGCGCCCTTGGCGCGAGGCATGCATCGCTCAAAGAATCCATATTGGCATGGAAACTGCGCAAGCTCGACCGAAGGCGGGTAGAATTACGGATAAAGCTTCGCGAAGTCGCGGCACCCTCCTTGGAAACAGTTGGACTTCGATCGGGGCTGATCTCGATCAAATATTAATTTCTCTCCTATACCAATTTTCTCCACAATAAGCAAGAGACACTTTAGAAAATTTCAGCGACATTGTAGCAACGTTGCTATAATATTGTCTCGTGAAATGTTCCAAAATGTTTCTTGGATCGGTTTTGACTTTTTGTTATTATCATTATTATCGTACGCATTAGGGCTCATTACGCGGCAGTATATTCGATGCATGCGCTTCCCAAGGGATACATAAAAGTCAATAAAAAATCAAAATGATTTTATATTTGCCTGTTCTTGATTTGATTTGTATTATACTTTGTAATTGTATTTCGTTTGCACTGTATTCTACCTACGCGCGTATGTTTTATAAATATGTTCGCGCGCGCGCGCGTGACAATGTATTTAATTCTTACTCTCTTTTTTTTTTCCTGTCAATTCCAGAGTTGAGTAGTAACTAATTAAAAAAAAAAAAAAAAATTAAAAAAGTAATAATTTTGAACTTAATTTAGTTAATTTTAAATGCATTGATTTTGAACTTAATTTATAGTTACTTTTAAACTTTAATTTATTAACTTTTTTAAATTAAAAATTTTTCTATCTCTTTTTTATCTTTCTTCTCTCTAATGCTAGTATTTTTTTCCCCATAAGGTCTTACACATTAGAGAATTAATTTAGAAAAAGTTCAATGATTTTATGATGAGAGACTCTATAATAAAAGTCACATTATATGGTAGTCAGTTTTTATTGACTTGCTAGATTTTGTCAATTCCCACTTATATTTAAATTACACTAATTTTAGATATTATAAAGGTTATATGTCAGCACATAAATATGAAATGAGCCTTAGATGAAGAATTGTTGTAGAACAGTGCTGCACGTCCATTCATTTTCTGAATTTTTTATAACAAATATCTAATCGATGTAGTCGTAAAGTGCATAAACAGTCGTTTCAGAAGTTAAAGAAAGTTAGATAAAGGTTAAAGAAAGAGAAATGATGCAAACGTATATCCTTCTCTGTCGCAAGATTTTAACAAAAATTTCTTATGGTGTGACTTTTATTATGTATGTATAAATAACATGCAATATGAATATAAAATTTAATTTACCTAATAATCCATATTTGTAAGGATTATTTAAAGTAATCCTTTTCTAAGAAAAATTATTCTAATCTCAAAAATAATTTTTTTCAAAATTAATTGTTTTCTAAACTTGAGTTAATTCTTTATTTTTTCAACTTTTAATTTAATTTTATTAATTTTATAAGCCATTAACATTAAATTAATTTAATTTAAAAAGAAAACATTAACTTACCCAACCCTATCAATTACTTTGATGCTTTTATGTTATTATTATTTTTCTATTGTATTCACATTGTATTATTATAATTAGACTCATAATAACAGTCTTGCTAGTGCTTCATTTTTTACACTTGCAATAAATTAAATTAAATTAAAATATTAATCTTCAAGAGGCTGAGTAACAGTAAGACAGAGATCGATCCGGTCTTGAAAAGTGAAACACAGTAGCTTATATATATATATAGATAAGAGCGCTCCCAATCCAAATTTTTAAGAGAATTTTTAACGACAAGTGTTATTAGATCACAAGTTGTAATTATGGATATAACGTTTAGGAAAGCGGTTTTCGAGCGATCAAATACTTATTGTAGATAAAAAGAACGTAAAATGCGAGGCGTTAAGATCGCGAGATAAGTGAAACTCGAGTTCCCAGGGCGATCTCCATATCGTCATGATTCATTTCAATTTCGTCGCGTGCACCTGGACCACACAGCATAGCGACTACCGCACAAACCGTCCTCACCCACGTGCACGTCATAAAGACATATACGCACACCTTATATAAGCTACGCGACAGCTTGATCGGTTTGCATTGTTGTCGGAGCGAAGTCTGCGTCGTCTCGCGAGTGAGTTACGGCACCGGCAATGTCATCGCGGATCGCGATACGAGAGATCGGGTTTACTTTGATCCTACTGGTCGTGTTATCAGCGCAGGTGAGTCGGGACTATCCCGATCTTGTCGTGAAAGAAAGTTGGGAAGAGAGAAAAAGAGGGAGATTGAGGAGAGATGGGTTAAATTTTAATAAAATCTTTTAATTTATTTTTTAATTGTAATTAGAATTTATTTTTAATCTTTTTATTTATCACCTCATTAATTTTTAAATTAATTTCAACGTACATTAAAATAAATTGAAATTTATTCAAAAAAAAAAAACGTAAATTAAAATTTAAGTAAAATGTACTTTAGTATTTACATTTTAATATTTATAATATTTATATTAAAATATACATATATTTTTAGTATTTTTTTCTATAAATAAAAAAAGATGGTAAATTTTTTAAACTGAAATAAATAACTGGGAGCTTTTAGAATATTAATTAATATGTGCGTTTTAATATTTAAAGCAAATTTATTTTTAGCTGTAAAAACGCGCGTTTGTGATTCTTTCATAATAAAATCGTATATATTATCCGACGAGAGAGATTGTATTCACCCATTTCTTGAAAGATTTATTGGGTTATCGTTTGTCAAATTAGAGACATCAATTCAGCCGAGATTTATTGGGTTATCTTTTGTCAAATTAGAGACACCAACTCAACCAAGTTAGGAATAATAGACTCTGACGAATAACGGCATTACATCCCAATATCGTCGGTGTATTATTGAACAAGTTAACAGTGAGAACGATGTTCAATAAAGGTCGTTAAATTCTTTGCGACCCAACAGAAAAAGAAAATAATAGAAATGAAAAATCATGCCAGATGTCCACGGAATTAAGAGAATTAACCGATAAAGTTATTAATCGATGTTTTTGCATAATCGATCGAAATGGACATCCACCATGTCAACTTGGATTTTTAGTTTTGTCAAACTTTCTTTTGCATATTGAGTACTTTCATGACGTTTTAAAAATAAGGCAAAACAAAATAAATACTATTTTATAGAAATATTAATTAAATTACAGATTAATTAAATGTTTATCTATTTACAAAAAAAAAAAAACGTGTCAAAGAGAGAAGTTGATCTCTCTCAGCTGTTTCAAGAGGGTTGTTTTATTTCTTAATTTCTCTAGGCGGTGGACTATGAATTCCACAGACACGACGAGATATCAGTGATTTCGAACGACAACATAATCTTGACGAGCCGCGACTTTCTCGAGCAGCTGAATTTCGTGGCGACAAAAGAGAGTTACAGATTGCAAGAAGCCACGGAGCACTTGCTGTATTTCGGTGCACTCCTGCGAGCGCGAATAGTCGACACCTTCGGCAGCCTCCTGTACGATTATTATGATGACTTCAGTGTTGCAGAAGTGGATGCGTTGCACAAGATATATTGGAAGATCTTCAAGCGGCAGTACGACGTGTTCGACCTAATCCCCAGTGTTCTGAGGAACCAGGATACGAGACCGTCCAGGATCTGTACCGAGATCTACAAACACGCTAGGGAATCCTGTCTGAGGAGTAGCACCAGCATCTGCCGCGGAATCAGAAAGCAGCACGATCTTCCGCATCCCGATGATCACAATACAGCCGCGTTGAATATCACGTACCACGTGTATCATTCGTCCAAGATATCGCAGCAATATCCCAGAGGTTTCTCTCTGGCGACATTGCTGAGACTCCTGCAGCGAGAAGTGCTGGTAATCACGCCCAATCTACTCTCTGGACTTTTATATAATGCGAGATACGATAACTACGACGACGATGTTCGCCTCGCCGAGAGGGAAGTTATACGACACTTTCGTGAAATCTCGGGGACCACCGTCGAAATTTCAGTGTCGACGGTGGAGCTGAGGAAGTTCCGTACTATGAATTTTTTCCTTAAGTACTACGTCGGTATATACGCCGAGAAATCCTCGGACAACGATCTGAAAAAGTACGCGCTCCTGATTGCGAGAAGAATCGCCGACGACGTTGGCACGATCGACGAGAATATCCACTTGCTCGGTAACGTCTACGAGAACCAGGCGATTCACGTTCAATACCTCTTCGATCTCGTGCTGCCTGATGATCTAATTGAGAAAGACGTCATCGAGGCTAAGAGATACCTAGTGATAAAATTAAACAAATTCAACGTGGTGGAAAAGTATCTCAAAGTGCAAAAATATCAGCAGGCCACTCCCGCTCAGCTGATGATGGAGATCACCGGGCAGCTGATTGACATCGACTTTGCCAAAAACATCGCGACGTCTCTGCGGATGTACGCGAAATTCTGGCACAAGAGCCGTATGATCGAAAGCCTCGACGAGCTGCTGGAACTGTTCGATGCCTATGAGAACTTGCGACGAGTGCCGAGCTACCTCTACATGATGGAGAAGATCGATGAAATCAAGAAGAGTTTGCAGGACGTGAAGGACGTCCCCATTGAGATTCTCTGTAATGTTCCGCGAACTTGCCTGCGAATAGGTCTAAAACTGATTTTACGTTGTAAATGGATAAATTCTCTAATCAAAGATACCATCAAAGACTTTCTGGAGATGAGCGAGGAGTGCGTGGACATTCCGGATTCAAGACGCTCGGTAGAGATCCCGTTTAAAGTATCAAAGAAACGTTTTAACACAACATTGCTAACTACAGGCCTAACAGACGAAAAACAGACTACGATTCAACGCAATACAATCTATCGTAAATTCAAAACGATTACAATGCCTATTGAAACTACCTACACTACAAAAGATTCAAAAAGGTCCAAGGATGAACCTGAGAAAACTTCGACTACGCCGATGACAACTATGTTAACGTCTACCTATGTGACCGATCACACGGTGCCAATTTCAACTATGCCCACAACCACTACGACAGCTGCGACAACTACACCATTACCTACAACAATTACGACGTTACCTACGACTTTGCCTGTTATAGAATTACTTACGACTCCCACAGAAGAGACGTTGTTGCCAACAACAACTACAACATTATCTACAACTACGACAATGTTGCCAACAACTACAACATTGCCTACGACTACCACAACATTGCCTACGACTACCACAACAGTGCCTACGACTACCACAGAAGTGCCTACGACTACCACAGAAGTGCCTACGACTACCACAGAAGTGCCTGCGACTACCACAACGTTGCCCACAACGTTGCCCACAACGATCAGTACAACTACTCCTACAACTGTGCCCACAACGATCAGTACAACATTGCCTACAACAACTCCCACAACGACGACCATGACGACAACCACGATATCACCTACGGAGATACCGATCGTGGATGCCAAGGTGGTAATAGAACTGAATCGTTCGAAGATCGTAACAAAGATTTTCACACCACACATTGATTTCGGAATTTCGACGAAGACCTTGATAATACCAACCGCAACACCTGTCCCCGCCTGCGAGTCGGCTGAATGCATTACTGAACAAAGTACTCTGCTCTCGATGACGCCGACGATGCAGACTTCCACTCTTGATACTACTGAGCCATCGTATCACTCAGACTCTACAGTTTCAACAACAGAATTGATTGAAACGCCGACTACGAAAGGTAAAATAACATTACATTACACTTTACACAATTCTTTTTGCAGTATAAAAGAGAAAATGACAATTTCCAATTGTACCGACAATATAGTCTTTCGGTTGAAAAATATACTTCTCATATTATACACATTTATTCATTTAACAGATACGTTACATAAATAAATAATAAACTTTAATGTATTTTAAAACACACGTAGCTGCATAAATAAATTTCCAAGATTAACATACTGTGAAATGCAACGCACAGGTTGCGCGCAGATCTGCTTAGAAAAATACGAATTCGAAACATCGGTGAGGTCCTGTGAAACAAGCTGCGACTCCGTGACGGAAGGCTGCAACGAGGATAATCCTCCGGCGACGAGCTTTCAGGAATGTGACAAGAGTTGCGAGTGCGTTACCAAAGAGAAGAGCGGCGAGTGCATGACCTTATGTCCTCCGGAGAGCTCATCCTGCGAGAGTGGCGACTGCGTGATAGCTAAAGGGCCGCCGTTAGATACAATTAAAATAAAACTTGAACGTCCGCGAATACGCGGCATGTGCGAGATCCCGAATCTCCATCATCGTCGTCAGTTGAGACGGTTGGCGAAGATGCGGGCGATCAGCGCCAGCGCAATCGCGACGTCACACGATGTCTCCAGGGCGAGGATGTCGCATCGTCGAGACCAAATTGCGACGAAGAAGCGGTACAAAATGATAGACACCGAAATACCTTATTCCAAAAGCAAGAAGGTGGCGGAATACTTGCAGCAAAAATCTCTTCGTGGCAGGCTGAGCGGGAACGACAGGGAACAAAGGCGTCGCAAGGAACGGGAGCAAATCTACAGGTTGAAGAAGCGGCTGAAGAAACTCAGCGGGAGACTGGCCCGTAAAACAGCGATGCATCATACGAGAGGGATCGTAGATCCATTTCGCCATAGTCAGATTAAAAGGATATCCGAGAGAGGCGTGAAAGGCGTTAATCGACGCGTAAAAGGCCGAGACGAGATCGGAGTTTATTGATTTAAAATTACGTCGTTTTAGCAAATAATGTTATTATAGCTGTTATGTAATTATATGGCCGTCGCTTCACGTGCTCCGTTTAGCGTACTTTCCGTCCATTTAATCGGGTCAGAGGCAAAAAATATCGTGGAACGTAACGGGAGAAGCTAATTACAATTATTGAAGACAAGAACGTTTATCGAATTCGGCTGTAAACGATTACTCGGCCCGGAGATTTAATTTAGTAGCTGTCTATATTTAATCGGACCGTCGTGAGACTCATACGAATTATAAATTATTCTTTCTCAAAGGCCGTCGTTGACGTCGCAACATGGATCAATTAGAGTCACGTTAATAAGATCTCTGGTCAGCGTTTTCCAGCAACAAATTTATATTACAAGCAGCTAAAGTGTTATTATTGAACGTTTAAAAAAAAAAAAGAAATTGTTAGACATTTTTTTCGATAAATTTTGTAAATTCTGAAAATAATCGTATTTTGACAATTGTATTAACATGAACAATTCTCTTCAGTCTATTTATATACAGTTTGTTTACTAGACTAAGAAAATCGACAAGATAAGTTTGCAAGAATCGGAAATAGAAATTACGATATTCGTTAAAGATACAATTATGTGAGATACTTTGAGATTCTTTCTTGTTCTTGCTGGGGAAGACTTGGCTTCCCTTTTTAGCAAGCACTCGAGCAAACAGCAACGCTCGACGTTCAGCACATTCTCGTTCTGCGGCGAGCAAGTAGCGGACGAGGTCCGGCGTGAATAAACGGCATAAACGGATAAGCGGGGCATACGATAGAACACAATGAGAAGTAAATTTGACATGGCCGGTGCCCGGCGCGTAATCTGTCTTATTAAACGGTCCCGCTCGCACAGCGAGCGATTACATTTGAATTTACGCTCGAAATAAGCGCCGTGTCGCGCTATCGAGCCAATTAATTCTCCATCCTCAGGATATACCTTTACGACCACGGCGAATCCGCTTCATTTCGCCGATAGTTATTCGGTCACCACGCGAGAGTGACCTTTTTCTTTTTCTTTTTTTTTTCCTCTCGCGATCGCGATCGCGGGATTGGCAAATTCACGAACTTCTCAAACGCGACTTCTCGCGCGGCTGTCCGACACGAAGAAATTCCGAATGTTTTTTTTTATCCGCCATAGTGCCGAACCCGCGAATCGCTTTCAGCAAACGTATGTAAATATATAAACATATTTCACCCACGCGGGCTCGCTATTAATCATCGATATTAATCGCGAGCGCTCGTAATCTTGTCGAAGAGCAGACAATATGTACGGGCGCGATTTTTAGGAGAAAGAAAGCGTGGATGGGATAATTATGCCGCGATATATCATTTCCCTAGATAAACAAATCCTTTCCTGCAAAAATCATTTCGTGCGGGATTCCTCAGTGTCAGGTTATTTAAAAAAAAAAAATAAGCCACTCCGAGCCGTACTCCTTGTCGAAAGTCGCGAATGTTCCCTGTCAAAAACAAATCATTAGGTACAACCTACGTTCCTACAAATTGTTTCTCCGTATTTTTTCTGAGGGTGGAAGCACAGAGTCTTGCATAACGTATAATACATAAAGAAAAAAATGTACCAATCAAAGTCCTTCATTTCCTTTCTTTCCTTGAAATAAAAGTCTTTGAGTGATTGATTTTTTTTTAAGTTTTATGCATTATGCATAAGTTTATGCTCCGGCCTTAAGAGGCGATCGCTTCCTTACGCAAAGGTTTTTCTTTGTCACCCTTCATCGACTTCACGTTCAAAAGTGCCGACTTGATTACATACGCGCTCGAAATTCGAAGGATCTTGGAAAATACGACGCGAACGCGTAAATGAGTCCAGGCAGATTGCCGATATAATTGGTACACGTGCCAGACTCGAAATTTAAATTATAGCTGTATAGACAGAGCATGATTATCTGTGAAGTATTTACAAAGGCGTGCGCATACATATAATACAAACACGGTCGTATCAGATTGCTGTTTACCGGTTAAATAAAGCGGAAATCAAATGGAAGTCACAGCCCTGGTGAAAATTTTTCTCAGAATTTTTCATAATAACTCTCTATTTAGGAAATTTCTCATTTTTCAAATTCTAAATTAGAACACTTTTTAAACAAATGCCTGTGTAAATAGTTTACACCTTCCTTTTAGAAATTTTCATACATGTATATCTGAAATATTTTAAGATTTCTAGCATTTCTCTTTCTCTATAATCTCTGATGAGATCTGAGAAGAAATCTTTAAAATATTTCTTCAGAAATTACAGAATGAAAAATCTGAAAGAACAAAGATACACAAGTAGAATTCACGAGATATGAAAAAAATTCTAAGAAAATATGTAGATTTTTTTTCTGCAACTCTGAAAAATGTTCCAATTTGTAGAAAAATTATGAGAAAAGAGGAGCATCTCACAATGTTTTGTCTTGTTTTTTTTTTTTTTTTTTTTTTTCCTTTAATATGAGTTTCTTCCGCAAGCATCAATCTATTCATCGTAAATACATCGCGAGTTTGCTCAGTAAAAGATCATGCGTGTTTCACATACTTCAATGCAGATTTTTCCGCTGGAGAATTTTTCACTATTTACGTGACATTTCGCGACACGTTATTGACATTTGCGGCCGCGAGCGGCCGTGGTCAAATGTAACTATAACCAGTTTAAACCGGTCGCTTCCTAAAACGTACAGGGACTGTACGTTTAATGGAGCGCGGGTCTCTCTCTCTCTCTCTTTCTCTCTCTCTCTCTCTCTTTTTCTTTTATTATCAATTTATGTGGCACTCACGTGCCCGCCTACAAGCCGCCTTTCGTAAAATGCCAATGCGCGCGACGTATGTTTGCGGCGCTCGTTAAACCATCGCAGCTGACAAGTCGGCCGTATCTGTATCGGCTCATGTGACCGGCAATTTGTATCGACGTACAAATTCGCGATTTGCACAGAGATACGTCATCGCGAAATTCTAAAAAAGGTAAACGGATGACGGATTCTTGTCACGAGGGGAAGCAAATCGCGATCACGCGCCACAGCGTTAAGGCTATGGCACACAAAAAACGTAAGCAGTAAAGCAAATGAACATTTTCGTTACCTCTTACTCTGTAAAAATTTCATTTAGAGCGAATTGTCGCTCTGAAGAGTGAAAGAGTGAATCTCATGGGTTTTTCTACGATAAGTCATTCAGTTTTTAATTAGAGCCTAAACTCTTTAAGTCTTAAAAAGTCGTAAGAAATCGATTCATATTCGATTAGTCTCTCCCCACATCGATTGTGAGTGACACTTAAGAAACTGAAAGCTTAAGACTGAAAGCTTAGGATAATAGCTTATCATAGAAAGAGCCCATCACTTCAAGATTGAACATTGAGCCACTCTCTTTATCGAGACAGATTCAATTAAAGAGGGAAAATTGAAACTCTAAATTCTTTTGAGTGGAATCTTATTTTATCTAAAGAATTTAGAGAGTACGTTATTACCTATGGACTGATTGTGGTCGATTCGCTTACGGCTTACACGCATCTTACCGCCTTACGTTTTTCTCTACATGTTGTAAAACTTTTACCACGCGACGAAACACGAGAGGATCTCCCCATGCGTGAGAGAATGCGATTATGGAATCTCAATTCGGGCAGAACGACGTTTCGTTAACGAGGCATCGACACGACCGAGACGACTTGCGTGTGACCTTTCTTGTCACCTCGCTTCGGTGAATCGCGACAATCCGTCGCGATCAAGTTTTTGTCAAAGGGCAGAGCCCCCGTCGTCGTCATCGTTCAAGATCGAGGGAGTAGAAGAGTGGAGGAAAGAAAGAGTTCAGCGCGTTGGAGGTTTCCACTGATGCCGTTGCTAGGCATCCCATATACGGGTGAGATAGAGACAAACAGACAGAGAGAGAGAGAGAGAGAGAGAGAGAGAGAGAGAGGAGAAGAAGAAGAAGAAGAAGAAGAAGAAGAAGAAGAAGAGAATGAGAGGGGAATAAACGACGGGCAAAACGAGAAACTCGAGACAAAGAAAGAGAGAGATAGAGAGAGAGAGAGAGAGAGAGTGGGAGGGGCGAGGGGGCGAGAGGACAATAAAATCCGCGCGTTTCGGCCAGTCTCGGGTCTCGGCGGCCGGTCGCGCAGCGATCGGGCGTGCTCGCGTCCATCGTGGCGCGGCGATGTCGGCGATTCGATTCGATTCGGTTCGGCTCGGTACGGCGAGCTCGGAGTATTACCCGCTCACTTCAGTCAGTTCAGTCCGTTACGGTGCGTCGCGCGGCGTGTACAGGCGCGTACAACGGTCGGACGCGCGCCTTTTCCACGTTCAAGTCGAAGGGGGTAGCGTGTCTCTCGCACGCGGGGGAACGCGTCTCTCGTGGCGTCGCTGCGAAAGTGCGGAGGGCGCTCACGGGTGTAAAAAAAAAAAAAAAAAAACAAAGGAAACGCCGTGATCTCCCACCCTTTCTTTTTCGTCAAACTCGCTTTTTTCCCCTCCTTCTCTCCCCTTCGGGTCGCCGAGCACTCGGAGCACGCGTCCCTGACATGCGGCCGGCGCGGGCGAGCGTCAGGACGAGCCATTGTCCGTGCCGTTTGACACTCGGGCTACTCGGGGCAACGGCCAGCCGCGCAGCCGACTTAGCCGACTCTCCTCCCCGCAGCCACTCGCAGCCGCACCGAGCGAGCCAGCTGAATTCATCCGTCTGAACTTACCTGCGGATCGCGGCGCGGTGAAAAAAGACGAGCGGGAAGGAGGCTGTCGAATCGGGGATATTTTTACGGTGAGTATCTTCCTGTTTTCTCGTCGTGTCGCAGCCGGATGCTTTCAACCCTTTTAACGCTCGACGAAATGGACCCGGTACGCTCTTCCAAAATAGACCGTATAATTTTACCGTTCCTTTTTTAATTCGCTATCGATGATACTTTTACTTAATTTTCTGCAATAATATTCCTTTATTGCGGAAATAAAAGATCAGCTTTAACCTCGGGGTTTAATTTAATCTTTATCCTTTTTTTAATGCTTACAGTTAAAATGAGATTAAAAGTAAGTTAAACCAAGATTACAGCTTATCTACAGTAGAAACGGAAAAATAAGAAAAAGAGGAAGGATAAGTTGAACCGAGAGATTAAAGTTAATCTATATTAGCGGAAATGAGAAATGAGCATGAGAAGATTAATATTTGTTTCTGCGAATAAAGGAATATTACTGGCCGGCATTAGAATTCGATAGATGTAAATTTACATCCGATAATGATTTTGAAACACGTACGTTCGCATATCGCCCCATTACTTTCCCGATATCGAAACGGTTACGGAGGCGCGAATTTTCCTGTCCACGCCTAAACAATATGTAAATACGAACCGCGATGTCAGGCGTTGTGGCTTATTGGCGGGATTTCCCTTGGCTAGCGATACTATCACATGTCCTATAAAGGCCACCGATAGAAACACGTCTCGCTGTAACGTTAAGTTTTTTGCTCAAGAAATTATTCAAATGTACGAAGCCATATCGGCTACTTTAAAATGCTATTCTGAAATGTCAATTCGTGACACAGATACCGCGGAATTCGTTAACATAAAAAAAAAAAGAATAGATAATTTTCAAATGGAGGGTCATTTTTTTGGTTTTAATCTCCCATAAAACTCGTCCATAACTATTTGACGTATACAGGGTGTCTGTTAAGTAAGGTCGGAGCCGCGTTGGAGGTGTAGAATGAGTCAAGGGGAACAAAAAAGTCTTATACCATTTTGTAATTATCGCAATAGTTAACAAGATATTAATTACTAAAAATGGCCAAATATTAGTCTTATATAATTTTTTTCTCAAATATTATCAATTTTACAAAAAAAAAACTATAAGAGATAAAAATTGTTTATTTTCTTCTCATAAAATAAGACTTTTATCAGAATTTTTTATCAACTTTTTAGTACTGCATTTTCTTACTTTTATTATCATGAGAAAGTACGGTATTAAAAAATTCTGAAAAAATTCTCAGAACTTTATGAGAAGGAAATAAACAACTTTTGTCTCTTACAGTTTTTCCGTAAAGTTCAATATTCGGTAATTTTTAGTAATTAATATCTTGTTAACTATTGCGAAAATTGCAAAATGACATAAAATTTTCTTGTTCTTGCACCCATTCTACGCCCCCAATGCGGCTGCGACCTTAAGAGACACCCTGTATATGTATATTTGACAATTGGAGACCTAAAGATGTATACTGTTGATATAAAAACGCTGAGGAAAAAAAAAGTTTCGACGCGAGGAGAGTTAAAGTATGCGTACTCGTTTATTAACTTTGACTTATTCCGCATACATTATATTTCCGTAGCACGACTTTGCGTAATCTGTCAAAGAGTTAACATTCGAAACGCTCGGTTCCATTGCAACGCGCCAGGCGTTCAGCGCAACGAACCGATCGACGTTTCTCCACGGCCGTTCCTTTTTCTTTTTTCCCGCCTTCTCCGCCCCCCCCCCTCTCCCCTCGTAACGCGAAAATAAAAGGCCGAAGGTTCCGGTGGACGAGCCGGTGGTACATACCATCGGCATCGTCGCGTAATGTTATTATTTTCGACAGTTCACGGTCCAGTTAAGCGGGCCAGGTAAATATTTCAAAATAGCGCATAATAGACTCGCGTATACATACAGGGTGTCCGATGAAGGCCGTAACAACGCTTAACGAGAGATTCTTAAGATTATTTTGAGACGAAAATCTTAATACCAAAATGTCAAGGCTACAAACGTTTTTCAATTATAAGCATTTCAAATTAGCGAATTATACGTATTATACGCTTGAAATTCGTGCATTCAAGGCATCTATTATGGAACAAGAATCGGAATGGATTCCGATCGAAATTATTCAATCATCCCCTAGATTTCTGTGTGTTTTCTAGAGAAAACAGAATAATTCCGATTGGGATTCACATTGCGACATGTTCCATGGTAGGTACAAGCAAAATGCTACCCACACCTAAACGCGCAACTTTAGACAACACGATTCGCTAACACGAGGTTTGTTTTCTATGGCTGAATCTTCTGAATGGCAGTATACTTTTGTAACTTAAAGTGAAGTAGGTATGTATGATAAGAAAAAGAGTTCTAATAACTATTGTATCCTCGATATTTTTTGATATTGGAATTTTCGTCTCAAGATGTCTCTTTAAAGAATATTCTGTATTTAAAAAAAAAACAAATAAAGATCGAAATTCAGTGGTGGTCGAGAGATGAATGGGCAAATGGGAAATACATTCAGTGAAATTCTCTTTGAATTTTACACATTGATTCGTACGATTGTCAATAAAGCCACCGACAAGATCCTATTAAAGACCGACATCCTTATGGGAGTTCGCGTCCTGGTGAATATTGAAGTGATTAAGAGTTAAAAACTGATAATATTGTATGATTTAATTATTTTATGATTTATTAGTTTGTAATAGACGTATTTATGCATTTAGAACACAATAATACTCGATTTTTCTTTAAAATTGTGATTTCAGTGTTTTATCGTCGAAGTTCGATTATCAACAGAGATGATAACTGCGGAGAAAAAAAATTGTAATTTTTCTACAATATATAGGATACTGCAGCTTTACAAGTATGCATATTTATTTATGGAACATTCATGTAATGAAAAATCATGAATTTAATATAAGCCAAATATTTATGTAATAATAGCAAATTTATATCAATTGTCAACGTTCTTCAATCACTTCCGGGCCGTTGGGGCCCTTTTTACATCGCCGAAAATTTGCCCAGGGTTGACGGGTCTTTAATAGTATCTCGTCGGTGATAAAGCCCACGTAGGCCACCGTGAACGGAATCAAGATCGCAACTCGGAGACGGCGCGACGCGACGCGACGCGACGCCTCGGCGCGCGTTTTAGAAAGTTTCGGATTTATACTAACTTACGTAATATATTTCGCATTCGGGATCGTAGCCGAGCGTATAGCCGACCTTTGCTTCGCAACGTCGAGCCGTGTTAACCGCTTTCGATATTGCTTTTTTGCTCCGCGGAATTTTCGCGGTTTATTTTAGTATCGGATTATATAGCCACGCAAGTTTCTACACGTTTCGTGTTTCGGCTGTGTATCGAAAATTTATGGCACGCCATTAACCGCGAGTGAACCACCGAAGAATATATTTTTATAACGCGTAGATAAATTAACGACTGATTCTCTTTCGTATTTATGAATATTATGTGAAAATATTCCTCGGACGCGTGAAAAGTATCCGGTGGTTTGCGAAATTGTTGAACTTTTTTCTCAATCCTTCCTCTGCAATCCGAGTCTTTTTTTGGCACAAGCGAAATCTCACTCTCAAATTTCACTCTGATTTTTTTTTCGCAAATTTCAGTTTTTATTAATGGTTTTTAACATTTGAATTAAAAGAAATTATTCGATAACGTAATGTAGAGAGAGTATTTAAAAGTAACTCTGAATGTTTTTTAAAGCTAAAAATGACAAAAGAGACCCAGATTGCAAATGGAGTAAAAATATAATTGCAGACGCACAGGAAAAAGAATTTAATTGCATTAATTAAAATTCTGATTGAAAACGGACGAATCAGGATTTTCTTATTTGAATTCAATATAATTCTAATTGAGAGATAACCAAAAATATAATCACCCATTAATACAATCAGGATTTTCTGATTTGTTTATTTTCAATCAGAAATTTTTCTCGGAGCGGAGGATTAAAATTTGCATGGAATATGAATGTTAATCGTAATATCTAAAAATAGCGCGAGCAATTTTCATGATTCCAATATTCATCATATTTCCTTGTTATCGAGGATGAAGAAAACGACGATTCATTGTTAAACTTTTTTTTTTTTTTTTTTTAGAGATTCATGACATATTTATCGCTTCTTACGACATTACCGTCGTGTTATTCAGGTTTTTCTCTATCGTCATCTTTATGTACACTGTTAGAAATGTAACTACGAGCTTCCTTTACATGTAAATGAAGTTCGCGATTATGAACGAAATTAAAAGTAATGAATGATTTAACTGAAAATTAAGTTACAGAGAGAGAGAGTTATTTCAATGTAATGAACGTGTACATTAAATTTCATAAATTTTCGTTCGAAAAATACATTAAATTATATATACGCAAATATACTTTTTAGTTATAAATACACTAAATTTCATGTAATGTCATTAAATTCAAATTGTGTAACTTAAAATTTAATGAAATTTAACAACATCTCTAACAGTGTATTATTCCTATCGGAAACGATTCGCTGGCTTGCATATATACGCGCACTTATTGGTTTCTACAAATCGGTGCCTCGAGGATATGCGGTATTCTCTACAAGTCAAATGAGGTTTAATGACTTCGCGGCGGTGTACGACGTTTACATTTAAGGAAGGTGCACGATGATTCACACGGTGCTTTACATGGTGTTCATCGTTGTAACCGACTGATGTCATCGTTAACGATGCAATGCTTTCAAGTAAAAATAATAATGCCGTTATTCTCGATTATAAAAAGAATGTCTCTCCTCCTTCGTTTTATCATATCGCATGTGGGACGTACGAATATGGAATAAAATCAATCACATAACTCATGAATTTCTTTACTAGCAATAACGAGTATCGATTTCGTCGCTGATAATTATAGATGTTAAACGAGGGAGGGATCTCATTTAGAATTCCACCTCCGCTGGAGCCGATTGACGTCAGGAATCCCTTAAAATTCTCCATCGCGCCGGGCGTGACCGAAAGTGACTGGCGGGTCATCCTGCTTGGTACCAAACGAAATTAGGCGGCTGCGAATCATG